TTCATCCGCAACCTCACCGCGCTCGCTGCACTACTTGCGCTCACGCAACTAATTAAAACGTTTACGCAAACTTAATTTGGAGCTTTCGTGACTGCAGGAATTACTCTTTGGTTCTTTCGGTAAAGTCACGTATAAAAGAGAAAATAATAAATTAATTACTAGCATACGACGTTTCGATTGCAACACAAGCAATCATCATCAGGTATAAATGAAATAGAAACACAAATCTAGTATACTTAGAAATGTAATGTAATACAACAGAGAGTCGGATAACATAACAGTCAACACCCTACCTGGTTGATTACGTTTTTAATGAGAATGCTAAATTTGAGAGAGAGATAAAACACAGAACCAGAGACATATAGACCGACATATAAGCAGAGACAGATATCACAGAGATACATAGAGAGAGACGTACATAGGCACACACGCATGCAGTACTGTATAGAATCTTTGTTACATGATTTATGGGAGCGTTGCCGTAAAGTCGAGTTTCCGTAAGTCGGGGTTTCCGCAACTCGGGACCGTCTGTATAAATAAAACGCAGTATGTTATTACTTTTATCACAAGTACTGTACTGTAGTCATCGCAGGGTGGCCGTCCCATGGAAATCGGCTCGTTCGGAAGCAGGGCGGTGTGGGGGATGCCCACACCGTGTGAGTCACCCCCTACGCCTTCAAACATAAACCGCGTTAATCTGACACCGTGACGCCTGCCTGTCAACCCATACGGTTTACCCGTATTCTTGTGCAGGGACATTGAGTTAAACGAAACAACTTTTTATACTCTTAGGTTTTTTCGGTAAAGTCACGTAGGTAAAAATAAATAATAAATAATAAAATGATAGAAATAATAATAGAAAAATAAAATATTATTTTATTATTTAATTGCTATTAGTATTTCCATAATTTTATTATTTATTTTTATTATTATTTTTACCTACGTGACTTTACCGAAAAAACCTAAGAGTTTGAATCCTTGCAGTCACGAAAGCTTCAAATCTAAAAACACTTTTGTCTACGTGTTTGCGTTTCTCCCTTGCGATGGGACTTTGTAAGATGAACGTTGAGATTTATTAGTGGCACGGGTTGACCAATAAGTTCTGAATTGGTCTGTAATCAGGTAAAGAGCACTGATAAGGGGTTGACAGGACAAGCGAGGGAATTAACACCTCGCCCCCTCTTGCACACAGTGACCGCGAGAGTACCCGTCTCATGCCCGTGCAAGTCACACGGGACCCCAGGACATTCACGTGGTCATTTCCTCCACGAACGGGAAAGAAAAGCGTGGTTCCCCGAGTCTCTGGATCGCACTTAAAGTTCCCGGTTATTGGGCGTGTTGTGTTGTTATCAATAAATTACATAGCTGTCAACCCCGTATCTGACCAATTCAGGCCTTATTGGTCACCCCGTGCCTTTATAAATATCAACATTCATCCGACAAAGTCCCATCACAAGGGAGAATCACAAACAAAAAGGCAACGGTTTTTTTTTGCCCGTACTGAAACGGCTGTTCGCCGTATGGACCTGAAAACTCAATATCCCTGTACAAGGATACGGGTAAACCATATGGGTTGACACGGTATGAAATAAACTCGTCAATAGGTAAATAAATAGACACATGAATGGCATTCCCCTTTATTTTTTGTTCGTAAAAAAAACGTCATTTTTTTCTTTATTTTACATTTTCGTACCGGTAGCTATCCACTTCCTCTAACGTGTAAAGCGATCGCTGGTCGTATCGCAAGCGGCACGTCACCGTGGATCGTCACTGAGACTTGGGGTCGTGTCGTGTAGCACTCTCGTGAATGTAAAACCGAGCAGCTGATTGGGCCCTTCCTGCTGAAATAGACAACATATATCTAACAACAACAAGGGCACTCGTTATAACAAGCAGGCTGAATTGCTCGTGCAATTAACGATTTCCTCACTGGAGGGGCGGGTTTGGGGATAGAAGGAGGGGGGGGGGGGAGTGCGCCTGGGAATGTCTCCACACACACGAGTTGAAGGCGAAGTCGTCAAAATTCCTCCATACTTTCCCACCCCACCAAATTACGCTCACTCATCTCGCCTCCTAAACATAGAGCTGATGACATCAAGGCGCGTTCATGCCCCAGGCGCCGTAGAACAGATCTCTATCTGGACATTCCCATTGTAGGCAGAGGTATATACCTAAACACTGCCATTGTAGGCAGAGATCTCCATCTCAATACTCCCATTTTAATGGACTTTGTTCCGCATCTTCAGCCCTTATACCTGGTCGGGGTGTAGATGCACCACTCTGTCTGTCGCCGTGATTGTCCTTATCAGGGCGTGAGCCCCAATAATCCCCACTCAGCAGGGAATTCCCACTAACGTTATGCAGACAACTTCATTCATTATTCTACCTTCCCATACAATAGCAGGTACGATTACTCATCCTGCCTGCCAATAACAGATCAATAGCAGCTTGGCAGGCTGGCAGAGTGGTAACATCTGGCAGACACATTCAGGAGAATACGCCACGTGTTATGCATTGGCAAGACGCATGGACATCTGCCAGATACATTCAGGGGAATGTGCAGCGTGTTACGCATTGGCAAGACGCATGGACATCTGCCAGATACATTCAGGGGAATACCCCGCGTGTTATGCATTGGCAAGACGCATGAACATCTGCCAGGCACATTCAGAGGAATGTGCAGCGTGTTATGCATTGGCAAGATACATGGACATCTGCCAGATACATTCAGGGGAATACGCCCCGTGTTACGCATTGGCAAGACACATGGACATCTGCCAGATACATTCAGGGGAATACGCCACGTGTTATGCATTGGCAAGACACATGGACATCTGCCAGATACATTCAGGGGAATGGCACTCGGCCGTTGGACATTTCTGGGCCTTCGCTCCCGTGCCACCTGGACTGTGGAACTCTCTGCCAAAGGCTGTTTCAGAACGTCTGGTTCCATTGGGATATTCAACTCCTTCCGTCTATAGACATTCATCTTCAACTCCTTCGTCTATAGACATTCTTCTATCAGAAGATTATTTATATTTTAATTCGGCCACTTGTTACCCCCCCCCCCCCCCCCATTGTCATTGATATAAACAGCTTTGATTTGTTGTGAAAGTGTTGACTTAAAGTTGTCGTGACTGCTGGAATTCATATTCTTTGGGTCTTTCGGTAAAGCCACGTAGATATAAAAATAATTTTTAAATATATATATCACGACGTTTCGATCGCAACACAAGCAACCGTCACCTGATGTCGATTGCTTGTGTTGCGTTCGTCACCTGATGACGATGGCTTGTGTTGCGATCGAAACATCGTGATATTTTTATTTTTTATTATTTTCTACCTACGTGGCTTTACCGAAAAACCCAAAGAAAGTGTTATGAAAGGCTCTACATTATCTGTAACTATTATTATTATTTGTTCAAATTTCATTGATGGTCACCAAAGACAACAAGGAGAACCAGAAGGCAGTTCTTCTGGAACTATTGCTTTTTTAAATCCTTTATATTAAGTTCACTTGCTCGCTTGCTTAGGACCGTGCAAATCTTTCGGTCGTTTTTTAACCCACTTCCCGTGATCCAATCGAGCTGACATTTTCAAAAAAGACTCGTTGTGCGTGACACACAGACTCGTTGTGCGTGACAATTAATGTTCGTGAAAAAAATTTCCAAAATTTTACACTTTTTAAGACAAAAATATTATATTTAATTACCAATTGCTTAATGCTGCCATGCAATCATCTGACCCATAGGTGGCAGCCATCTCAAGCCAGATGACGAGAGAACTCTAGCCGCCACGCATATAAAGGATTTATAGTGAAAACTTTGATTTTACGGGTTATACTTGTTACTTCTAATAACGTGCAAAAGGCCGAGTGGTTTTTGTTTGGGACTTTTCTGCCAGTATCGAAGTATAAAAAAATAAGGATTGATTTTACCCTTTCTGGCAATAAAACAGGAGTTAATATTTCGATTTAAAGCTTTCGTGACTGCAGGGATTCATATTCTTGGTTCTTTCGTTAAAGTCACGTAGAAGGGAAATAAAGAATCAAGAATAGGAGTTAATATGTTCAAACACCAAATAGAAACCTTTCGCGAGGAATCGAGTCTCTAGTCTGACACTGGTGAGACAGGGCCCTAGAGAAGGCCGTCTCTGGTGTAGACCAATCAGTTTCAAAGACAATGCCATCTATATAACTACTAGCTTAACTACCCGGCTTCGCCCGGGACTTGGATTCTTTTCTTTGGATTAATACACGGCCTACGCGGAGGGTGGGGGATGCGTGACGTCACCAGGCACACTGCATGACGTCAGCAGGCATACTGCGTCACGCTGCCGCATGCGGGTGACATCACAGATGTGACGTCACCGCTCACTTGCCGTGCAAAATCTAGCCATTATTGCGCCCCCCCCCCCCCCCGCAAAAAAAATACAAAAGTCTATTTTTATACTTTTTGCATTGTGTACAGTCTGGAAGCTACCCACATACCAAATTTCAAGTTTGTTGCATGTCGGGAAGTATGCTAAACATTTCGAACAGACACACATATTCACAAATTTCCCTTTTATGTTTTTAGATAATCAGAGCGAGTTTGTACGCGTGTTCACCACAACAAGCACCGTGTGTGGTCAATGCAGTAAATTGATTCCTTGCAAAAAAAGTTAATATTTGGTGTTTGAACAGCTATAACATCTCCTGGTTTTTTGCCAGAAAGGATGAAGCATATTCTTATTTTTTCATGTCATCTTTTGTTTGTTTGTTCACCTTTCTGTGTGTTGCGGGTTTGATCGTGCGATCGACTCGCGTGACTTTTGTGTCTCCGTTTGACTCAGAATACAGAGCTTACTTCCACGAGTACCTAGAACCTTGTGTTTTGTTCTGTGTTTTCTTGTGCCTGCTTGCTCTCACATTACTAATGCTACACTGGGGGTCATGTTTGTCTTGTCTGTGTGCCGTATGCCGTGCGTTTGAAGCGAAACAAGTGGACGAGGCGATGGTGTTTTTGGTAAAATGCGTTGTATTTGTTGGTGATCCAGCACCGTCCATAGGCACAACAACACAACACCATTGTACAGCACAGAATAAATAGCGATCACGACATGCGCCCCTTGCTGCACAACAACAACGCAACGAACATCATGTTTTGAGCATCCCATGATCATTATTGCACTGGGAAAATTGCGCAATTATCGTTCCCTGATTCCTTCATTCATCATCATCGTCATCCTCAACATCATCATCACCACTCTCATCATTCATCAATAACAAGCACCATTTTCACCATCACCATTATCACCGCCACCACATTATTTACCAACATCCTGTCTATCACAATCGTCAACAATTCATCATCACAACGCTCTTCCTCCCGATGTTAGGAAGACAACTGGAGGTAGGCACTTTTAAATCCTAGATTTAAATCTCACTTCTTTAGAACTGTAGTTTTTGTTGCGTTTAGTTTGTTGTGCTTCCCGTGCGCCTGCGACTAGCACGGTCAGTTGCGTACGGCGCGAAAGAAGTTCAACACGCACACATACAACAATCATCGTCTTCCTCATCACATTATAACCAGCATCGCCATCATCAAATGATCATTGCCATTGACAGCTAATCGTGAGAACAACCACCATCGTTTAGTCATTGCATGGGGTCGGTGCCACCATCCACACGCATAAGCAGCCGGGAATTAATGTAAACGGAGTAGCGACTATTTCATAATTTAAACGTTTTTTTTTTACATCGTAGTGATGGTAGCGGTCTCTAGCGCCCGAAGGTTGTAACGCGAACCGGGTCGCGTTCAACGCGCACGGCGAGACGCGAGTTTCGCGAGTTCAAGTTTCGTTTTTTTTGCGCATTGAACAGCAGTTTGAGACTCAGACTATAACAGTTTATCGAACCTTAACGGTATTAAATAGAGATTTGATAAGAGGCTATGTACAAACATATATATACACTAATTATCTTCTGTTAGTACCTTGCAGTGTAACTCTGCCCATTTTCTACCACGTACTCTCCCAGTACGCGCCCGACAATTCCAGTTGCCAAACATCGCAAGTCAAACTTTCATTGTGCGGTCACTGCCCATCCACGCGGGCACTTTAGCAGCTAGGCCTACGTTTAAACATGACACAGCCCTCGACGTCTACCCCCACCCAACCCCCGAATGAATTGCTTTAACTCCAGAATCATCTTCTTGGTTCTTTCGTTAAAGTCACGTAGAAGGGAAATAATAAAATAATAAAAATAAAACATAATAAAATAATTCTCACGACGTTTCGAAATCGAAATTTAACTCCAGAAGTTGAGTGCCAACGCAAGATCAGTTTGTGTTCATCTTCAACTCAGATGATTTGCGATGCACCCCCCCGCCCCCCCCCCCCCCCGTCATTGTGACTCCATCTGCACTCGCGGTCTTCACTCCTGCATGGGTCTCCTGTCGCCTCCTCAATCTCTCTGCACCTTCACTCGCTCGAAGATCTGGTGGACCTTGGCCGCAGGGACGCAGCCTTCACGCAGGATGCGGATCCCCTCTGCGAAGGAAGCAGACGAAGAGGAACCGTCAGATGGACCCTCTCCTATCCCGGTAGTTTTTTTTCACGAACACAGATGTATTTTATTCATCCCTTTAAGATGTTATCTTCAGTGTGCATGGACACATTGATCATCAGCAGCAGGAGCATTAAATTCATAATGATCAGCCAGTAACATCATCATAATCAGTAGTAGCAGCAGCAGTAGCATGAAAGTCATTATCAGCAGCATCCTCACCATCATCAGCAGCAATATTAAAATCATCAGCAGCAGCATCATCAACAGCAGCACTGTAACTTCCTGTGCTGTGTGTCCGTAAAATGTAATACGTTGTACGTATGTATGTTGAACTTCTTTTACACCGTACGTAGCCAACCTTGCTAACCACCAGCCCTTGCTCAAACCCCAGGCTCCACACCTTTTTCATCTGCTCTGCCTATCACGACCGCCTTGCTTGCCCAAGCGCCGACGTCTTTATACACCTGCAGCCAGATTCACGTTAATTTTTTTCTCAAGGCTGAGACGACCTTAGAGGAATCCCAGGGCCGGTTCAGATTATCACTCGCCATCAGCGGCCGGGATGTCGAACTCAGGTCGCCAGGTTCGTAAACGCAGGGCGTTAACTACCACTCGAGCGGTACACACACACAGACAAAGATTCCCCATGGAGCCTTTGAACAGGCTGTCCGGGGCAAATTCCGTCAACGAGCGCCCGTTTGTGTCGGCACGGCGCACGGGTGCACAGTGTCGCCAACGGCTCGATGCAGACGCTCGCACGCGGACAAGCGCACGCCAGCCGCTCACCCCCGTCGATGTCGAGGCAGTTGACCACGGTGGAGGCCACCGTCTCGTTGGAGTCTCCGTCGCACAGAACCCCGTCCAGCTTGTCGCCCAGGCGCCTGCGGGGGCAGCGAGAGAGACTCTCACCACGGAGCGGAGCGAGCGCGGCACAGACCCACTCCGGCTGGTACTGCCGCCGTGAGAGTGTGTTGTGGTGGTGGTGGAGGTGGTAGTGGTTGTGGCTGGTGCGTCCTTGTTGCTGTACTGCTCACCCGATCACCAAGTCGTGGTGGGTGCTGTCACTGTGTGTGTGTTGTGGTGGTGGTGGAGGTGGTAGTGGTTGTGGCTGCTGCGTCCTTGTTGCTGTACTGCTCACCCGATCACCATGTCGTGGTGGGTGCTATCGGGCTCCCCGCTCGGGTTGGCCGAGGTGATGGCGAGAGGCCCGGTCATGGACACGAGGTGTGACGTCACGGTGCTGTCCGGCACGCGGATCATGATGCTGTCCGCTGTGCCCACCAGGTCGTACGCTTCCCCCACACCTGGGCACATGGAGGCAGGGAGGGGGGAGGTCAGTACAGCAACAAGGACAGCAGCAGCAACGTTATCAGACTCAACACCACTGCTGCCACTATCATCATCGTCATCATGAACATCACCATCAAAGCCACCTCCATCATGACCACCACCATCATCATTATCACCGTTAACGATCCATCTCCCACCATCATCATTATCATCATAACCAGCAGCACCAGCAGGACCGGCCACCGGCACCGCGCGTCGCGAGGCTCATCAGCAGTGCAGGTTACCGAGGCGCAGGAGCCAGTCCCCCTTGGGCACGATGCAGCTGATGCCCCCCGGGTAGACGCCGCTCATGAACTCCCAGAGCAGGGGGCTGAACGGGGGGCGCACGGACGCGAGCTGCTCCAGGCTCGAGATGCAGATGCACACGGGCTTCTCCTGGGGCCGGTCCTGCAGGGTGGGGGGGGGGGTGCAGGGGGGGGTGCAGGGGGGGGGGTGCAGGGGGGGTGCAGGGGGGGTGCAGGGGGGGGGGTGCAGGGGGGGGTGCAGGGGGGGGGCAAACAGAACAGAGAACCATTTAATAATCTTTGCTCGCGGTTCATCAGTGTAAGACCCCCCCCACACCCCCTCTCCACCCGTCCCCTCGCCCCCTAAAGTTCGACTGTGGGGGAGTGATCTCGTCCAGTGCAGGTACCCAGGGAGTGCTGCGAGCACTACGGGAGCACTCTGGGCACGACGCGAGCCCTGTGCGAGTAGCTAGGACAGGGGCTGGGCAGTCTGCGGCTCGATCGACACTGAGTTGCCTTTTGCTCTTTTACCGAATTCTGAACAAATTTAAATTCTCTCCATTTTCCGCTTTGCCAACCCCTGACCTCGAACCAAGACGGCGGTCGGTGCCGTTAGCCCGAAAAGTTCTACGAGTAGCCCCTCCCGGCGAGTAGCCCCGCCCCCCCCCCCCCCGAGTACCTCGCCCCCCCCCCGCGAGTAGCCCCGCCCCCCCCCCCGCCGCGAGTACCTTGATGGCGTAGATGCGCTGGATGGCCCCCGGGTGTCGGCACGAGGCGGCGAGCGCGTACACGGTGTCCGTGGGGACGCCGCACACGGCCCCTCCCCCCAGCAGAGCCGCGATCTCGCGCAGGCCGCTCGTGCGCCGCGACACGGGGGTCACGCACGGGGGGGCCGCGGGGGTCTGCGAGCTGCGGCTGGAGGGGGCCTGGAGGGGGAGATGCGGGGGGGAGGGAGGGTTACAAGAGCGTGGGAGACAGAGTCAGAGAGAGAGAGACCGGGAGGAAGCATGTGGACAGAGACTCAATGAGCTACCGATGAATAAATCAGCACAGGCGAGGAACCCCCGAGTTACCTATCCACTCTCGGAGTGATTCATCTCCAATGTTGCACTCACGCGTGCGCGTGCGTGCGTTGCATTTCCTGCAGAGGCGACACGCGCGGCGGGCGCTGCCAGCAGAGGGCGACGCGTCTCTGTGAAGACGCGCGGACGGAGAGCGCTCTGCGGTGTCTCTGACTCTCTGCGTCGCTTTATCCCCTTGGCCTCGTGTCTCCCCGTGTCTCCATGCCCCCCCCCCCCCGTGTCCCTCTGTCCCCGTGTCTCCCCGTGTCCACGTGTCCCTATGCCTCCCCGTGTCTCCATGCCTCCCCGTGTCTCCCCGTGTCTCCATGCCACCCCCCCCCCCCCGTGTCTCCCCGTGTCCCTCTGTCCCCGTGTCTCCCCGTGTCTCTCCGTGTCCACGTGTCCCCGTGTCCCCATGCCTCCCCGTGTCTCCCCGTGCCGTCCCGCTCACCCGCAGCAGGGCGCGTCCCAGGGGCAGCAGCTTTCTCTCGAAGACGCAGTTCGACACCGAGGCGAGTGCCCCGTACGCACAACTGAGCGCCAACAGCGCCAGCATCACGTCTGGGGGGGGAGGGAGACAGGGGGGAGACAGGGGGGTGAGTGGGGGGTGGTCAGCGATGATCAATGGTGATCAGTGGTGAGTGACAGGTCAGTGATGCGTTGATGGATGTCGTGCTGTGGTCATCATCTTCGTCGTCCTCACCCTCCAGTGGCTGGGGGAGACTCTCGAGTGTGAAGAGGAGGAGGCAGATGACGAGGATCTGCATGACGAGCGTGTGGAAGAGGAGGACGAGGTTCCCGTACGCGGCTGTGGCGGACGAGGGGGTAACGGGGGCATGGGGAGGGGGAGACTGTGTGAGCGGCAATTGTCGTCACTCACCCAGTGTCATTCATCCAGTCACTCACCCACTGTCATTCACTCATTCAGTGTCACTCACTCAGTGTCACTGATCCAGTGTCACTCACTGCGTTCCACTCACTCACCCAGTGTCACTGATCCAGTGTCATTCACTCACTCAGTGTCACTCACTCACCCAGTGTCACTGATCCAGTGTCATTCACTCACTCAGTGTCACTCACTCACCCAGTGTCACTGATCCAGTGTCATTCACTCACTCAGTGTCACTCACTCACCCAGTGTCACTGATCCAGTGTCATTCACTCACTCAGTGTCACTCACCCAGTGTCACTGATCCAGTGTCATTCACTCACTCAGTGTCACTCACTCACCCAGTGTCACTGATCTAGTGTCATTCACTCACTCAGTGTCACTCACTCACCCAGTGTCACTGATCCAGTGTCATTCACTCACTCAGTGTCACTCACTCACCCAATGTCACTGACCCAGTATCACTCACTCACCCAGTGTCTCACTCACTCACCCAGTGTCACTGACCCAGTGTCACTCACTCACCCAGTGTCACTCACTCACCCAGTGTCACTGACCCAGTGTCATTCACTCACTCAGTGTCACTCACTCACCCAGTGTCACTGACCCAGTGTCACTCACTCACCCAGTAATATCAGGAACATGTTGATGATGAGACCAGCGATTGCCCCTGCCGTGAACCCCGTGTCATCGCCTGGAGAAATATTCAGGGAGAAACCTGCAAACAAACCAAATCATCATCATTAAACTACCACGTCACAGAAATCACATCACTGTCATCATCGTAACCTGAGCATTGCCTTAGCCGTCAAAACAGACGCCCAAATCCTATCATTAAAAAATAAATACATCAAAAAAGCAACCACCACCGCTCACCCGCCAGCCGCAGCCAAGCCCACACAGCCCAAAAGGCTGCGTAGCAGAAGGGCATCACGGATCCGCCGGACGCCTTGTGCAGGAGTCCAACCCGGGCCACGAACAGCTGCAGCAGAGCTCCGGGCAGCAGCACCCAGGGCAGGGAGAGGCGAGCGCGGAGCGGCTCCGTCGAGTGCAGCGCGGACATCGCGGCCACGCCGTTGCACAGGTAGAACGCGGCGTCTGACAGCTGCGCCATGGAGGGGCCGGGCTGGTTGTTGCCCGCCTCGTTGCTGCTGCTGCTGCTTCCATTGCCGCAGCTGCAGCACCTGCGGAGCGCGCCCAGGAAGGCCCGCAGGCGCTGCGAGGCGAGGGGCACGGCTCCGATGGGGACGAGCGGCTTCTCGGCGATGGAGTTGATGAGCCGGGCGAACGTCGCGTACAGGTTCACGGCGGCGTGCGCGCAGCACGCGGCGCCCAGGAACGCGTAGCGCGCCCTCGCCGGGATCTGCGGGATGGCCGCCACGGCGAGCAGCGCGAAGGACGAGTTCTCGACGGTCTCCAGGATGTCCCTGTCCAGCGACACGAGCAGCAGCACGACCGCCGCCACCAGCAGGAACCAGTCGCCCACCATCGCCAGTCGCGCCGAGTCCAGCTCGCCCGCGGCAGCCGAGGCGAGGGCCACCTGCTCGGTGGACACCACGAATTCTTGCCACGCGTGCACCAGCCAGAAGACGCAGCGCAGCACCGACTTGGCCCCGTGGTACGCGTCCTCGCGCAGGAACGCGTAGTAGGCGGCGAGCAGCTGCGGCGCGGAGTTGACGCTGAGCCAGAGCGCGCCCGCAGTGAACGTGTGCGGGAACCCGAAGCAGTAGAAGGCGAGGATCACGGCGGCGACGGCGTCGCAGAGACAGCAGAGCGCCATGGGCTCGGCGTACTTGGTGTTCTTCTTGCGCTCGTTGCCACCCGCGCCGCCACCGCCGCCGCCGCCGCCGCTCGCCGCCTTGCCCGCGCCCAGCAGCAGGACGTTAAAGAGCGCGTTGCCGAAGCCCGGGAGCACGTAGCGCTGCGTGATGCCCTTGAGCAGCAGCGCCACGGAGCCGTAGAGGCCCGCGGCGAGGATGATCAACTCGAGGGACCCCGCCACGGGGGCCGCCCAGCCCAGCGGGTACGCGGCCAGCACGGCCTCGAACACCAGCACGGCGGTGATGGCGCCGAACACGGGCGGCATGATGTAGTTGGCCGTGGCGGAGCAGAAGGCGAGGATGGCCGACACGCAGATGTACGCCACGAGGCTCGCCACCGCCGTGTCCGACACGAACGCGTCGGGAGCCGTGGCGTGCTCGACGGCCGCCAAGGCCGTGAGGTTGTCGGCCGTCGAGTTGACGGCGGCGGCGAGGGTCACGGCCCCGGAGATGATTCGCGAAGCTCCGAAGCCGCTCCAGAGGGCGGCGAAAGCCAGGAAGGCCGTGCCGCCCAGGTGGTCGAACTTGCGGAAGGTCAGGAGGCCGGCCACCAGCTGGGTCACGCCGCCGATGAGGACCAGGTGCACGCCTGGAGGTGTGCGGGTGGGAAGGGGGGCGAAAGGAGGAGGGGCGGAGAGAGGGGAGAGGAGTCAGAGTGGGAGGGAGGCGCGTGGGGTGCGCAGTGGTTGGTGATTGTGGTAGGGGGTGCCGCAAGTCGATGAGAGTGACGAGTAATGGAGCTGCCTTCATCATTAACAACAACATCGCTAGGATTATTATTAACAATATGGTCACCAATATTATCAATTGGACTGCTTCCACCACGACCGTTCACCATCATCATATAAATAAAATGTATTTTACTATCATCATCATACAAATAAAATGTATTTTATATCATTATCGTCGGTATCATCATTGTCATAATAAAAACCACAAAAAAAATTATTTTGTCATCATCAAATCCACTTCCATCACCGTCGTCCTTATCAATATAATTTGACCGACTTCCTATGCTACCATTGATTTATCGTCATTCAATTTGATAAACCATCATCATCATCGTTATAACCACATACACCATCAATTGATAAAACCGACACCACGTAAAACCATAATCATCAAAATCATCAAGGCCGTCTGCATCACCATCGTCATATCAACCTCGGCGATTGTCATCATCATCATCAAAACCACCTACATCAAAACTACCCAACACCTTCACGATCATAACTCTCATTAAACTACCTCTACAATCATAATAATAATCATCAAAATCACTTCCACAACCACCATCATCAACATCATCATCACCGTCGTCAAACCCACCTTCACGACCATCGTAATCAATCAAAACCACCAACGTCATCATTGTCATGAAACCACCGCTGTCATTATGCTCATCATCAAAACCACCTTCATTCTCATCGTCATCATCATACATAAAACAATCCACACGATCATTGTCATTCAACCGTCTCCATCATCATCATCAAAATCACTTTCACAAACACTATCATCATCACTGTCGTCAAACCCACCTCCACGACCATCGTTATCAATAAAAGCCACCAACATCATCATTGTCATGATACCACCGCTGTCATTATGCTCATCATCAAAACCACTTTCATTCTCATCGTCGTCGCCGTCACCCCCCGCCCCCCGTACCGGACAGGATGTTGTTGGTGGGCGAGAGGTGCGCGGCAGCGCGGTGCGTCGAGAAGTTGTGCATGGCCACGAGCAGCGCGCTCACGGCGTTGGCGAGGAGGCCGAGCACGCCGGGCTCGCTGTAGAGGACGGCGGCGAAACCGCGGCTCTCACCCCCCGTGCCGGACATCGCGACACGCGACACGCACAGAGACGCGACACGCAGACACTGCGCAGAGACGCGACACGAGACGCGACACAGAGACGCACAGAGACGCGACACAGAGACGCGACACAGAGACGCGACACAGAGACGCGACACGAGGCGCGACACGAGACGCGACACGAGACGCGACACGAGACGCGAGACGCGACACGAGACGCGACACGAGACGCGACTCGAGACGCGACACAGAGACGCGACACGAGACGCGAGACGCGACACGAGACGCGACACGAGACGCGACACAGAGACGCGACACTGAGACGCCGCACAGAGACGCGACACTGAGACGCCGCGCAAAGACGCGACCGACACGAGACACAGCGACGCGAGACGCAACAGAGACGCGGGTTGTCTCGACGCAGAGAGACGCCTCGACACGGAGAGACGCAACGCGAGACGAGATAGCGCGACGAGAAGCGAGACAGACGGAGGAGAGGAGTAGAGGCGCGACACGATGTCCGCGGAGTGTGCGGGACGCGAAGCGGAACGTTTCAGACTCTCGCGTCTCTGCTACCCTAGAGGACTCGACGGAGAGTCTCTTTATCTCGGGGAGGGGGGAGGAGGTGGAGGTGAGACCTCTCACCTGTCTTCACCCCCACCCCGCACCCAATCCCTGTCACCCCTCCCCCCTCCTCGCATTCTTCCTCCCCTCCCCCAAACTTCCTTTTTCTGAGGTGACGAATTACGTCACTCTTGGACACCAACTAATTCCACCCTCCGCTGCGTGGAGACTCTTGCCCAACCCCCGATGTGTCCGTCACGAGAGTGCGTGGGATGGAAAGTGGCGTGGGTGGAGGGTGAGGTGGGCGGGCGGGCGACAAGACCCAGTTTCTTCCTAATCTCCCAGCCAATGAGCGAGCTGCTTCGGCCGGGATTTCCCAAACACTCTCAAAAATTTCCGGACTGCTGATCAATGAATTTGTTTTTTTTTATGGTGGTTGTGATGCTGCCGATGATGACGATGCTGTGATTGCCCCACCTCCACCCACCATACCCCCCCTTTCTGCATTTGCACATCCTTCCTTTCACATCCTCACCCCCCTCTTAATTCTCAATTTTAGTCACGTGAGTGGAGGGGGGGGGTCGCAGAGACGCGGGTACATAAGGGGCGAACTCCTAGACAGAGGACATCGACGATTCGTGGACCTCAAGACTCCGACTCGACGCCCTCCTCCGCTTCTCCTCGTCGCTACTCAAGTCCCACTCGGCTCATCATGACCTCCTCGGCGCTGCTCCTCTCCGCTAAACAGGTGAGGTCGGCGGCGAGCGCGCTCCAAGCCCCCTCGCTCTACTCATGCACCTCGCCGGGTCTCAAGACTCGTTCACGAGAGGGTGCTGCGTGCAATTGCTGGGGCAAGACACCGTCTTGGTGTTTGTGTATTTTTTTTAAATACACATGCAAGAGTCTGTAATAACTGTTATATATAGAGAGAGGTATATTTATACAGCCTGTAACTGTCACACAGACATAGTCTATAATTTGTACATAGGCTATAAAACATAGTAAATACAGTCTATAATTATTGAAATACAGTCTATAATATTTATAGACTATTTTTATATACATTATAAACTGTAAGTAAACAAGACAGTCAATAATTTTTATAGAATGTATTATAGACTGTAATTATTAAATACAGTCTATAATTTGTATACAGTCTATAATTTTGTATACTTTTTTGTAGACAATTTAATTATTTTATAGATATTCCACAGTCACAAATATTAAATGATTATTGCCTCTGAAAAGTTATTCTTGTTCATATTCCGTCATGAATTTCGTAAAAAAGAACAATGTAAATAAACCAGCGGATTGCTTTGCCGGCAAAACGCTATCGTGGGTGGAGGCGTGGCGTAGTGGCGATTGCGATGCGCGACTGCCCAAGCCGCCTACTCCATCCGTGTTCACACCGCAAACCGCGCAAAAACATTCTTACATCACACACGCGCCACACGCACGCGCACGCACACGCGCACGCACGCATTGTGTGTGTAGTCCAAAACACTGCGATGATAATTTCTGAAAAAATATTTATTTGCACGACATCATCAACACGCATGCGTTAGCAGATTTGAATCTCGTGTGATTAAATGCGAACAGGTATGTGTGTTAGCATGGGCAATATTGTTCGCATTAAATGTCGTATTAAGTGAATTCGTTGGTATGTGTTTCAAGCGATTATTCTGACAAAAGATATTATTCAGACAGAGGCAATGAGTGGATATGAAGGAATAAACTCTCTGTGTCAATCCTCTCTCCTCCCCCTGCCTCTCTCCCAACTCTCTCGTCATCTTCCCCGCTCTCTCTCTCTATCATCTCCCCCACGGTCACTTCCTCCTCCTCCTGCTCTCACTTCTCCTTGCCTCTCCGTTACTACTGCTCGTCTTCCCTTCCTCCCTCTCTCTCCTGTTCTCCATTACCTCTCGAACCACGCTCGCAATCTGAAACTTTTCACTCTCTCCTCCGTCTTCCATCTCGTTCCACTCTCCCGCCTACCTCTCTCTCTCTGCCTCCTCCCTGCCTCTCTCCCCCTCCTCTCCCCCCTCCTCTCCCCCCTCTCCTCTCCCCACTCCCCCCCCTCCTCTCCCCCTCCCCACAGACGCAACCCCTGTTAAGGGCCCCCTTCAGCCTTCTGCGGGGTCCCAGCTGCAGGGGTCTCCACAGCGCGACCGGGGGCAGTGGAGCCCCGCTCAGAGGTGAGACCCACGAAATGCCGCCCTCAACTCCACCCTAAACTCCCCCCCAACTCCACCTCAACTACACCTCAACTCCAGCCCAACTCCACCCTCAACTCCACCCTCAACTCCACCCTCAACACCACCCTCAACTCCATCCTGAACTCCCCCCCCCCAACTCCACCCTAAACTCCCCCCCCCCAACTCCACCTCAACTCCTCAACTCCACCCTCAACTCCACCTCAACTCCACCAAAACTCCACCCTCAACTCCACCAAAACTCCACCCTCAACTCTATCTCAAATCCACCTCAACTCCACCAAAACTCCACCCCAACTCGACCCTCAACTCCACTCCAACTCCACCTCAAGTCCACCCCAAATACGTCAAAACTCCACCCCAACTCTACCCCAACTCCACCCCAAATCCATCTCAACTCCACCCTCAACTCCACCCTCAACTCCACCAGAACTCCACCCTCAACTCCACCCTCAACTCCACCCTCAACTCCACCCCAACTCCACTCACACCCCGAGTCCCCACAACTCCCAACGATAACGACACTAGCCCCGCGACGTCATCGCCTCCGTTCACGAATCCGGAATCCGTGGCGCTGAGCCCAGTCCGCGTGTTCGCTCCCGCAGAGAAACCTCAGCTCCAGCAGCAGCAGCCGGAGGAAGATTTCCAGCAGCAGCAGCAACAGCAGCGACGGGAGAAGCCCAAGGGCAGCTTCTCGCAGTCGCTGGCGCAGCTCACGGCCGGGCTGGGCCCCGAGCACGCGAGCCCCGTGGCTCGGAGCCGCGCCACCCGCATGATGATCGACGCCGTCGGCGTGGGGCTCCTGGGCGCCCGCACCGAGGTGGCGCAAATCGCGCGGAGCCACGGGGAGGTGAGCGCGGCGCAGGGACACGGGGACCCGGGGGGGGGGGGGTCGTGTGACGCGCGATCGTGGTGCCCTGGTATCTGCCACGACATCTCCAGTGGAATTATTTGACTGAGGCTCGTTAGCACGCGATGCCTGTAGCACAATTGTAAACAATCGAGGGAGCAATTAACGCAAATTCAAGCAATCGCCTCGATCTGTGGCTCCTATCGCTGACATCGACCTCCTTCTCACCCCCTCCCCTCCAATCCTCCGCCCGCAGCTCCTCTCGGCAGGGGGCCCCTGCACGGCGTGGGGCTCCAGCGGGGTCCGACTCTCAGCCTCGGCAGCGGCTTTCGTCAACGGGGTCTCGGTGAGTGGCATGATGATGATTATTTGAATGCTGATGTTGATGACTGTGGTGATTAGAATAAATATGAGCGTGCTGATTATGTTGCCGATTAATCGTGGTGATGATGATAATTAATAGAATGATTAATAGAAACATATGATGATGATGATGCTAATGAGCATCATGATGATTATAATGATGATGAGAATGATGATGATACCTCGTGCACGCCACGTGGCAGGCGCAGGCCATGGATTGTGATGACTCTCCGCCACGATGATGATGACGATGATGATGATGACGATGAACGTAATATTACTGCTCCTGATGATGACGATGATGCTTCTGCTGCTGCTGCTGTTGACGACGACTGACGATGACACCTCGTTTTCCTCCTGCCCGTGGCCAGATCCACGCGATGGACTTTGACGACACGTGGCACCCCGCCACGCACCCGTCGGGCTCCCTGCTCCCCGCGCTCCTCGCCGCGGCCGAGGCGGCGCCCGCGGGGCAGAAGCCCTCGGGACTGCAGCTGCTGCTCGCGTTCCTCGTGGGCGTCGAGGTGCAGGGCCGCCTGCTGCGCTGCTCGCGCGAGGCCAACGACATCCCCAAGAGGTGGGTGCGTGGGTGGGGAGACAAAGGCGGACGGGCGAGAGGGCGGCCAGACGCGTAAAGCGTCAAACGGACTCGGCACACAGAGATGCGCGCGCAAACACACAGACGGACGCACAGAGATTGAGACAAAGACATAGATCTCCCGTATAGCCTTGAACAGACCTTGGGGGCAAGTGCTGTTGGCGAGCTAATATTTTATTTTTATTAATTTTAATTTCATTTTTTACCTACGTGACTTTACCGAAAGAACTAAGAGTATGAATCCTTGCAGTCACGAAATCTTCAAATCTAGAGCTAATATGAAGTCCGGCACGGCACGCGAGGGAGTGGGTGGCAGCACCACGCCCGGTCGCCTATGTCACACACACACACACGGTGATTGAGCCAGACACATTGGGACAGACACACAGATACAGGCACACGGAAGACACAAACAAGCAGACACACAGTGAGCTTCACACAGCGACACCCACACTCACCCTCCACCCCTCCCCTGCTCCAGGTTCCACCCCCCCACCGTGGTGGGCACGATCGGCGCGGCCGCGGGCTGCGCGCGGCTGCTGGGGCTGGAGCCGGCGCGGTGCCTGCACGCCCTCGCCATCGCGGCGTCGTTCGCGGGCGCCCCGCTGGCGAACGCGGCCACGCAGGCCAAGCCGCTGCACGCGGGCCACGCGGCGCGCATGGGGCTCGAGGCGGCGGCGCTCGCTGCCTCGGGGCTCCACGCCAACGAGGCGATGTTCGACCTCGCCGAGAGGGGCTTCGGGGCCTTCTACCCCGACTACGAGACCCCGCGCACCCCGCTGGACCCCTGCGGGGGGGCCCCCCTCCTGCTGGAGCAGCAGGACGTCGCCTTCAAGGTGAGGGCCGCGGGTGGGGGGTGAGGGAGGTGGGCGGGGCGAGTATCGTGCTGGGGGATCGCGAGGAACGCTCTTGACAAGGGGAGGTGGACGCGGGGAGATCCATTTAGAGATGGCCCACTGTAAATGCGCGCGTCCCACCAACCCCGATGCACGGATTGAACCTCTCAGCTGAGACCATTGGCGGATGCACCACCTGTGTTCCCCACTGCCGTAACAACGACAACGATCCTCCGCATAGTCTGAACAGACGGTTGGGGCAAGTGCTGTTAGCGAGCACCTACTGTCATCACACGCACGCAGACGTCTGCAGTATTACATGGGACTGGTTGACCCCATCGCCCCCGTGACCTCGTGACCTCACGTGCCCCCTCCACCGCCCTTTCCCCCCACAGCGCTTCCCCGCGCACCTGGGCACGCACTGGGTGGCGGACGCGGCGTGCGCGCTGCGGGAGCGAATCGCCTCGGTGTGCGGGGGCCACGTGGACACGGCCCTCATCGAGAGCCTCGTGCTGCACGTGCCGCGCAGCGCCTACGTGGATCGCGCCTTCCCCGCGGACGAGCACGAGGCGCGCCACTCCTTCCAGGTGCGAGCGAGCTCACCTGTACACTCACCCTTGCCTCCACTCGCCTGTGCTCTCACCTGGGCGCTCACTCATCCGCAAGTTCGCCAGCACACTCACCTGTACACTCACCTGTACACTCACCTGTACACTCACCAGCAACACCTGCACGCGTCTCCCGCTCAACCTCCTCGTCTCCCTGGGCTCTCTGCCTCCCCCCCCCCCGGGCTCCCCCCCCCCCCCTCTACACCCCCCCCCCATCTCCACACTCACCCCCCTCTCCCTCCTCTCCCTCCCCTCCCCGCAGTTCGTGGGCTGCTCTGCGCTCCTGGACGGCGCCGTGACGCGCGCCTCCTTCGAGGCCCCCGCGCGCTCCCGCCCCGCGCTGCGCTCCCTGCTCGAGCGGACGCGCCTCGAGCACCCGCGGGACAACGTGCCGAGCTTCGCCCTCATGTACGCCGCGGCGAGCGCCTCGGTGCGCGGCCTCGAGGTGTCCGCGCGCTGCGACTCCTTCCTCGGCCACTGGCGGCGGCCGCTGGGCCGCGAGGCGCTGCTGGGGAAGTTCGCGCAGAACGCGGCCGGGGGCGGCGTCGGCGAAGCGAGGGCGGCGGCCGCTGCCGCGCTGCTGGAGAGGGTGGAGGAGCTGAGCGACGCCTCCGAGATCTGCCGCCTCCTGCACTGAGAGGAGCGGGGGGTGCGGAGGGGGGCAGGGAGGGGGGGTGGGGAGAGGGGAGGGAGGGAGGGGGGTGGGGAGAGGAGAGGAGAGGGAGGAGGGTGGGGAGCGGCAAGGGAGGGGGGTGGGGAGAGGGGAGGGAGGAGTGGGGAGTGGGGAGGGAGGGGATGGGGTGGGGAGAGGGAGGGGGCTGGGGGAGGGAGGGGGTGGGGAGAGGGGGGTAGAGCTGCTTGACGCCTCCTGCACTGGGAGGGGTGATGGGGGGGGGCTCAGGTGGTGAGGATTTATCTTCAATGCACTCACGTGCATTTCTGTAATTTATTTGTCAAAAATAGGGAGAGCGAGAGGCAATCAACTGCAGTATATAAAATAACTAAAGTATACAGCTACAGTATACATATACTGCAGCATACAGTATATCAGTATATATATAACAGTATACATATACTGTAGCGTGCATATGGTCTGGCGGGCGGGTCCCGCCTTTCGGGCAGGTTCTGGGGAATTTCCGACCTGGGTACAGCTGTTGGCTGAGTTCACGCAATGTATGTGTTCATTGCAAGCGAGAGAGAGAACGGACACAATCGTGCAGTTTCACTATAAATCATATCGTGCTCCATCGGCCTGTCGGACCAATGTCATACCCGGCAGCATTTACTTAAAAACCTTGGCCCGGTCTCGACTGCTGTGTCCCCAGCGTCCTTTGCTCTTCTCGCACTCGTCTCCTGTGTGGCGAAGTTTGGTTAAGCTACATCCGCGAACCGCAACTGGCGTGGATGAACACCAAATGAGCGTACAAGAGCACAGAGTTCGTTTTTTCTATATTTGAAATAGTAGGTAAATAATAACGAGATGGGTACAATTTTTTTACTGTGTTATTGCTCATGACATTTGAATTGTGAAAAGAGGATTTTATTGGTGTGGGTGTGTATAAACGTGTCATCGTGAGCGGTGTATAGTTCATGATTTTATGATAATAAAATATTTGATGAAAACAAATCGTGACTTGGTCGACTCACCGCATATACAAAAGACGCTCCTCTTATCAGCGAAGACACGGCGGAGGCAGTGCGGGTTTATCCCAGTAGCAAAAGTAGCTACGCGTGCTACGGGCACCGCACTTTCAGGGGCCCCGCGCTAAATGCTTTCAAGCTAGCAATTCCGGTTCAGTGACTCTACACTTGGTCTATTACTATAGTACTATACTGCCTTCAACTTTTATGAACGACTGGGTGTTTAAGGTTAGCGATTTGTCGTATTATCCGGCTGTGTAGCAAATGAAGAAATACAATAACTTGACTACGCGACCTCACTCCTCCTATTCCGCGAAGTAACAAACCCCCCCAAAAAAACGATCGCGGTTTAACCCCGCGGATTACAGAATAAATCGGAGGCGTGACCCCTCGCCGTTATCCGCGACGAAAAATCGCGAGAAATCGGAAGCCGCGTCGCTACGAATTGTTGGTAAAATCGCGGTTAACCGCGAACAATCTGGATTAACAGGCCCGCGGATAATAGGAGTCGCTGGTAATCGGAAACTGATCCACAAGGATATTGAGCATGGCTCAAGTTCCCTCCATCATATCTGACCTCAACCACCTCCTCGCCTCCACACCTCGTGTCGACACATTCGTAGGCAGAGAGTGGATTCGTCCTGAGTCACGACGAGGGGAGGATTGGTTGAGGTGGCTTCACTCGACACTTGCTCAAATCATTTGTGTCTTTCGGTAAAGTCACGTCGATAGTTCTAGATTTGAAGCTTTCGTGACTGCAAGGATTCATATTCTTGGGTTTTTTCGGTAAAGTCACGTAGGTAAAAATTTTAATTTAAATTAATAAAAGCAAAATCTAAATAAAATAAAAATCACGACGTTTCGGAGGCAACACAAGCTTCCGTCTGCAGGTGGAACCGTCACAGCACGATTGCTGTATCAAGTAATTTACTTGATCACGTAGATAGGTTCAAAGAAAATAACAAAAAATAACAAAAAAGATTTCTGTTATTTTCTCTGAACCTATCTACGTGACTTTACCGAAAGACCCAAAAATATTTATTCCTTTATTCCTGCAGTCACGAAAGCTTTAAGTCAAGACTTTCATAACATATCAAAGCTGTTTATATCAATGACAATGGGGGGGGGGGGGGTGGTAACAAGTGGCCCGAATTAAAAATAGGAATCACCTTCTGATAGAAGAATGTCTATAGACGGAAGGAGTTGAAGATCCCAATGGAACCAGACGTTCTGAAACTCCATACAAACACGATGAATTGACACTGTGTACCATCACCATCGTCATCATCGTCATCATCGTCGTCGACGACAGTGTTCATGTTCGCCTGGGTGAGGTTGAGGTGGGCACGGGTCCCACTGCCTCTCTAGCTGGGATCATGGCTCACTCCACTGGCCGTGTAGGGATCTCTTCGTAAGAGTGGCGTGGTAACTCCATCATCAGCTCAGGGGGTGCAACAATCGATCAGGGTGGGGCACCCTAATCTTTGATTTGTCTCGCAGCGAAGAGGCTATTCAGTAAATCGCGACTCCTCTTGCCTCATCCGCATCGTTACGCTCACGCTCTCGAACATTTACAACCGCGTTTTAAATAAGCGTCGCTGTTCTTTTCCACTGCTGTTGAAAACAAATCTCGTGGTTGTTGTCAAGGGGGCCCCGAACTCGTAGCTTTGGCCGGGGGGGGAGGCAAGGCACCCCCACCTCCCTTCCCTCCACGCTCGTTACGCTATTTTCCCGGAGCAACACTTAATCGCGCCTCATCTTCTTGTTTATCATCATCATCCTCATAGCACAGGGCCATTAATCGACATGGTGACGATTGTGTTTTATTTTTTCGGCAGTGTTACTGACAAACGTGTTGCGTTTTGCGTTCATTGTGAGTGTGCACCACGGCCAACGCAGCAGCATTACACAAATATACTGGTAGGAACCTCCTGGTTACACCAGCCCACAGGGGATTATTGTGTCCGTCCGTCCGTCGTGCATCCAAAAATGGGAGGGGTGGGGCTGGGTGGAGGGGAGGGTGGGGAGGGGCTGGGTGGAGAGGATGGGGCTGGGTGGGGGGTGGGAGGGGTGGGGCTGGGTGGGGAGGAGCTGGTCACCCTGTGGTGCCCTTATAAAACTCAACATTTAACCTACTCACGCCGGCTTGTGCCCGCCCTCACAGTCGGCCATATTTGCGGAATACACCACGCCACCGTTGACGCTGGCCATTGACCGAGCAACCCAACGTTCCTACCAGCTCCCTCCGCAGGAATGTGTTTATATATTGTTTAATTCGTAACATAAGTAAGCAATGTACGCGTCCTTCCCACGTCAGTCCTTCCACGTAACAAAACAAACGAACGAACCTCATCCCCATCAGCCCCCACACGGCCTCCTGGGAGCGCATCCGCCCATGCAGCTGCATTACTTCAAGACAAGCAAAACCCCGGGGCGGTTCCGATGTCCGGTGCCTCATCAGCAGCAGCAGTCGGACTCGCTCGAACCAATGTCCGGGAAACTGCCCAGCTGTTTGTGGGTTAGGACTCTCTCTCTGTGTCTATGAAAAAAATAAGAATTGGTTTTACCCTTTCTGGCAATACAACAGGAGTTGTGTTAAGAAGTCCAAACGTCAAATAGAAAACCTTTTGCAAGGAATCAAGCGACTGCAACACGTTCCTTCGGAGTGGGCAGGTAGGAACTTGGTTGGAAAGCGCATTCGTGCACGACAGAAAGCTCGAGGTCACGTGACACACTTCAACCAATCCGGGAGCGTACTACATGTTTGGGAGGGGCTATGCACGACAGACAAATAATTCCTGGTGGGCAGTGTGGAACTGTTGTTCCTACCTGTATTAACCACACAGTACAAACATGGCTCTGATAATTAATAAATGGGCATTGTCTTTGAAATTGATTGGCCTTCTCTAGGGCCTAATCTCACCAGTGTCAGATGAGAGAACGCCAAAATTCGAACTATACAAAGGAAATGCCACCGTCAGAGCGTTTATAGCTCGGGGTGAGCAGCTACAAAATGGGATGCATGCCCAAAAAGGTCCCAATTTGACTCTCTCTGTGTGAGATATGAGTCGTAGCTCGATGCAAAACTACACAATGGACAACACAACAGACATGGCTTCCAGTCTCCCATGTATTCTGTTTAACCAGGCGAGATGAGTCGCGTTACCTCGAGGGGCCCGGGTCATCAATATGACAAACAAAATTTCATCAAAATAAAGGGCAACAATCGCACGTCTCTAATGCATATTCCTGTGTACAGCATCGTTACGTGTCTCTACGCATCTCTACGAGTCTCTGTGGGTTGACGACGACACGATGCATAGTTTTGGTTGCATGGCCACATGCAAGCATGATCTGTCCTTAATATATGGTGGTGGAGGTGGGTGGCTACGATGGAGTTAGTGGCTACGATGGTGTTGGTGGCTATGATGGGGGTTGGTGGCTATGATGATGTTGGTGGCTATGATGGAGTTAGTGGCTGTGATGGTGTCGGTGGCTAATTAATGGGGTTGCCGGCTATAAATGTTTGATTCTGGCTCTCAAAAAGTCTCTTATAATATCGTTAACAAACACAACGCCGGGCCTTTGGGCTTTTGTGATATATTCTTGCGAGTGGGATGGCAATGCGTGTAACGTGACCCACTCCATCCCCTGGAGGCCTCTGGCTGCGATCGCCACAGCGAGGAGCCGCGCGCGCTCAGGCGCACACACAGACAGACACGGTTACGACCTTCGGTGCAGCGCAATAAACTTTATTCACGAGAAGCAAAGACACAGACAGCAACAACAATAGCAGCAACACTAAACACAGCCGTGACCAGGATAGGAGAGGATCTGGGTCAGCGGAAGAAGATTTGGAGGGGCTGGGTGGGGGGGGGGGTCACCAGCGCCCCCACCTTCTGACCCCCGCCCCCCTCCCCCTCGCCCGCCCGCTCACGCGAGCTTGAGCATCTCCTGCACCATGACGCCGACGCCGTCGTACACGTGGTGGATGGGCGCCGTGGCGCACATGAATGCGCTCGTGGTCACGATCTTCAGCTTGGCATCCACGTGCGCCTCGCCCACGTCCGTGCACACGTGCGTGCAGCCCAGCTCGCGGATGGCGGCGGCCGTGCCCGCGTAGGGGAACCTGGCGCACGCGGGGGTGGGAGACGCGGTGAGACGGGGGGGGGGACACGCGTGTGTGTCTACACGTGTACACACACGTCTAGTGGCACATGTTTGTTCATATAGACTTATCTATGGTGTGTTTATTCTATGGTCTATCCACTGCTGGGTGAATGCCGCTCAAAGCCGTTGCTATCGCAATACCCTCCTCACCTGCACCAGCCCCTCTCACCCCCACCTCCATCCCTTCCCTCCCCCCCCCCACACTCCACCCCTCTCGTCTCTTCCTCATCTGTCCCCCGCACTCTTCACCCCACCCCTCTCACCTCTCGCGCTCCCCCACGTATCCCCTCCACTCTCCCACCCCGCCCCTCTCCCCCCCGCGCTCCGCCCACCCCCCCGCCCCCCCCCCCCTTGCCCCGCCCCTCTCACCTGCCCCCCTGCTCGCTGTCGCCCCCGACCGTGAGCTCGCATCCCGGGAAGAGCCTCGCGGCGAGCACGGGGGCGATGCAGCACAGCGCCACGGGTTTGTCCGCCTCCCTGAAGGCGCGCAGCGCCGCCTCCACGCCCGGCAGCAGCGAGCAGCTCGCGCCCTCGGAGGCCCACGAGCTCAAGTTCTTGGCCACGCCGAACCCACCTGGAGAGAGGGGAGGCGGGGGGGTATGAGAGGGGGGGGGGGTAGGAGAGGGGGGTATGAGAGGGGGGTATGAGAGATGAAAGGTAACGATGTGTAACTCCTCGAGCCGCTAAAGCCTCCTCGAGTCCTCAAGTTTCTTCTTCGATCTTCGGTGCGATGTGCAATTAATGAGGCGCCATACCCGAAACGTCGTCTCTATGTTAACGAGAATGAACGCGCTCCGCAAACTGGGACTTGTTCAGCAATCATCAGGGTGCGTGTAGCGCAAGTGCCGCTGTAGCTACGAGCAGGTCGAGAGGAGAGAGCGAGTGGGCGCTGCTGCTACTGTTGCCTGTCGACCTTGTGTATTACTGTGGTGGTGGTTGTTGTTGTTTACTGTGGTGGTTGTTGTTGTTGTTGTTTACCAGGCACGAGCAGCGCGTCGAAGTCGGCGACGCGGAGCTGCGCCAGGTCGCGCGCGGCGCCGCGTGCGATCCGCGAGCTCTCGCGCAGCACGTTCCGCTCCGTCTCCCCGCTCTGCTCCTTGCCGCTCGCGTGGTCCACCACGTGGTGCTGCGCCACGTCCGGGGCGAACACCGTCACCTGCACCAGGGGGGGGGGGAGGGGGGGGGGAGGCACGGGGTGCGAAAATAAATTAGAACAGCTGATGGGGTGTGGTTACCTGTGGAGGGTGGGGGGGGGGGATGATGAAGTGTGAAGATGAAAATGAAGATGCCAACACGAGGATGAGCCAAGTGAGGCGATGCGAAAAAGGTGAATCATCCCGCAGACAGACCACAAACGCATCGCCTGGGGCGACCATGCTCAGTCAGGTGTGTCAAGGTGAGCGCGTGGTGCGTGTGTCTGTATCCGACTCAAAAGAGTACCTGGCACCGCGTGTAAATGTCAGCCCTGGGGATACAAAGGCAGTCAAGGGTGGCGTTGGCTACACTGGAGGTCTTTGTGTAAATGGGTACACACATTCTGGACCAGGTGTGTTTATATGAACACACACACACACACACCTGTACGCCCAGCGCACTCGCCCCCCGTTTCACGTTCCACGCGCACCACAAGACACACATTTAAGGCAGACTCGGCCTACGGGAAGCTCTGGACGGGTTCCAATACCACCGATCGGTAATCGAAACCACTACACTACAAGCTCCCCATTACTGTATACATAACAATCATCTCCCGTATAGCCTGTAACAGACTGTTGGGCGGAGTGCTGTTCGCGAGGAGCAGCTATGAAGGCCGGCATCGGCCTGCCCGCCTGCCACGCTAGGGACACCAGCTGTTCCATTTGTGGTTGCGACGACCTTGGCGAGATCCAGGGCCGGTCCAGATAACATCCACTGGCGTTGGCCGTGAGCGGGAATCGAACTCGGGTCGCCGGGTTCGTAAGGCAGCGCGCTAACCGCCTATGTACCCACACAACAAGCGCCTATTCGCCGCTAAGTGGCGGTGACGTTACCACGGCGCTTGTGCCAGGCTAGGTGCACGTTGAGGCCACGTGAAGTGTCGAACGCCCGCTGGCAGGAGGTCACGGGGCAGACCCAGCAGGTGCCACGGGACGACCGATTGAGATGACCGAGATGCCTGGTCGATGCACCACCTGTGCCCCCTACTGTGCCACAGACGTGTACACTCGCACACATTTATATTGACGCGATCTCACCCAAAACACCTCTTATGGATAATATTGGTCGCGAAAGCCTACGTGTACACACACACACGCGTACACACACACACACACACGCGTACACACACACACACACACGCGTACACACACACACACGCACGCGTACACACACACGCACGCGTACACACACACACACGCGTACACACACACACACGCGTACACACACACACACACACGCGTACACACACACACACACACGCGTACACACACACACACACACGCGTACACACACACACACACGTGTACACACACACACGTGTGTAACTAGACTCTCACCTCGGCTCCCGCTCTGCTCAGGTGAACGAGCGCCGCGGACGCCTCGTGGATTTCGCTTCCGTCATAGGCCCCGCACCCCGCCAGCAACACAGCCACGCGCTTCCCCATCTCTGCTGATGCTGATGATGCTGCTGATGCTGCTGGTGGTGTGGCTGAAGCTGGAGTGGATAAAGTCGAAACCGTGCGCGTCGCTGCTTTTATAGCGACGGGGAGAGAAAGAAGGCGGGGAGAAGGGGGAGGTTGCATCACGAAACGTGGGGGGTGGTGGGTGGAGTGAGGAGGTGGGGGGAGGTCATGGAAGGGCGGCGAGCGGTGGGGGGAAGCTGAGAGGGGGGGAGGGAGAGGGCGGGGAGAGAAGATGAGACAGGTGTGTGGGCGAGCACGAGAGCGAGGGCGTGAAAGTGGAGATGAGAGAGACGGGAGAGGAGGAGTCGGAGGGAGATGAGAGGACGGAGAGATGAGAATGGGAGGAGAGCGAGGGGAGATACGATTCGAGGGTGAGAGGAGGAGGAGAGGGGATGGGGAGGTAGAGGAAGGGAAATGGGAAGGAGATACATGAGATGAGAGGAAATTATGGCAAAGAGGAGATGAGAGGGCGAGGCTAAGATAATGGAGATGAGAGGGTATTGAGATAATGGTGGCGATTGAAGAGCAGGGATGAGAGGGTTGGAGGGGAGGAAGTGAAAGCAAAGAGGAGATGTGAGAGAGAGACGCGCAACGAGACGGGAGATAATACACGAGGATCACGGAAGGGTGATGGGAGGGAGATGGGAGGGAGGGGGCGGGAGACGGGAGGGAGATGAGAGGGAGACGAGAGGGAGACGAGAGGGAGATGAGAGGGAGATGGGAGGGAGATGGAAGATGGGAGGGAGATGAGAGGGAGATGAGAGGGAGACGGGAAGGAGATGGGAGGGAGATGGGAGGGAGATGAGAGGGAGATGGGAGGGAGATGGAAGATGGGAGGGAGATGAGAGGGAGATGAGAGGGAGACGGGAAGGAGATGGGAGGGAGATGGAAGATGGGAGGGAGATGAGAGGGAGATGAGAGGGAGACGGGAAGGAGATGGGAGGGAGATGGAAGATGGGAGGGAGATGAGAGGGAGATGAGAGGGAGACGAGAGGGAGATGAGAGGGAGATGAGAGGGAGATGGGAGGGAGATGGAAGATGGGAGGGAGATGAGAGGGAGATGAGAGGGAGATGAGAGGGAGACGAGAGGGAGATGAGAGGGAGATGGGAGGGAGATGGGAGGGAGATGGAAGATGGGAGGGAGATGAGAGGGAGATGAGAGGGAGACGAGAGTGAGATGAGAGGGAGACGAGAGGGAGATGAGAGGGAGATGGGAGGGAGATGGAAGGGGAGGGAGATGAGAGGGAGATGAGAGGGAGATGAGAGGGAGATGAGAGGGAGATGAGAGGGAGATGAGAGGGAGACGGGAAGGAGATGGGAGGGAGATGAGAGGGAGATGAGAGGGAGATGAGAGGGAGACGAGAGGGAGATGGAAGATGGGAGGGAGATTAGAGGGAGATAGAAGATGGGAGGTAGATGGGAGGGAGATGAGAGGGAGATAGGAGGGAGATGGAAAATGGGAGGGAGATGGGAGGGGGATGGGAGGGAGACGGGCGCGGTCCGCCTGTTGCTGGGGGTGACTGCGGGACCCGGGGGAGACGCGGCCCCAGGGGTGGTGGTGGCGGGGGGTGCGAAGGGGGAGGGGGGGGGGGATCTGACGTCACTCCGGGGAATTCCTGTCATCATTGATCGGCAGGGGCTGAATGAAGTCAGCAACGGTCCCCAGTAAAAAAACACCGTCATGCAAATCATCCCTCGCCGACCGGGAGGCGGGTAAATTATTAAAGTACCGAGGCTATATTGTACATTGAACCGGTATCATCTGTCCATCTACCGGATTATCTTCCACGTTCGTTATCACCCCCCCCCCCCCGCGTGCCCGCCCCACATCCCTTCTGTTCAGAGTGGTCGGGGTCGAAGCGATGTCCCTTCACACTGGACAACGAGGTGCTTGCTCGCCAGTGGTGGGCATTCTACATTCCTATGGCGGGGAGGAGGACGAGTAATAACATAGCACAAGCGCTATTGATTTTTCACACGAACAAATTGGTACGAATTTTATCGACCGCTGAGTCACCGCCAGAATAACACGCAACCTCCGATGAGCAGGGTTGGCTAGGTAGGGTGCGAAAGAAGTTACAGATGCATGCACACTTACCCTTCATTTATATACACGCAGACCTTACTCTGAGTCTCTCGAGACTCAAGAAGGCCCTGCGAAATTTTGACTTCAAACTTTCGTGAATTAAAAAAAAAAGTAAGAAAATTTTAAAAATGTTTAAAAAAATGTCATTATTTGTTTTCTATCTCCGTAACTTTACCGAAAGAATCTACAATATAGGGTCCTGCTACCTTGGGAAATTTGGCCAATTCCATTCCGCACGTTTGGCAGGGACACGCGCACCTTGAGAACGACCCACGCATCGCCCAGTGTCCTCGGTGCAAGTTTCACCTTCGCTGTGCCCGATATATTCACACGAAGGCGCTGAGTGGGTGCGTCAGTGAGTGGGGTTGGTGAGCAGGTAAGTGATGCGGTGGGTAGGTGGATGCGTGAGTAGATATGTGGGGGAGAGGTAATGTCGTGGTTAGCGCGCTGCGCTACGAACCTGGCGACCCGAGTTCAATTCCCGCTCACGGCCACCAACACAAACCGGTTCTGGGCCTCCCCTAGGTCGACTCAGCCTCAAATGAGTGGTGTGTAAACATCGCCACTCGGGAGACAAAGGCGGTCGTGCAGGGTGCTGGCCACCCACCCCATCGCGTGTGTCGGCCTCCACAGGTGCTACTCGCTAACAGCACTTCCCCAAGACGCATTTCACAAGTAGTACTAATCCCATATCTGCATTTCCCATAAATATGCTAAATTCCTCTTGATATGAAAATTATTTTGTCAAGGCGCTCTTCCCCCTCCAACCCAGCTTAAATATACGCTCCAAGCCTGGGGTGTTTCATTTAGACGCTGTCTTCCCGACAGACCTGTTCTTCACCTGAGGACGGCTGCTTGCGTTGTGGCCGAAACGTCGTGAGAATTGTTTTATTATGTTTTATTTTTATTATTTTATTATTTCCCTTCTACTTGACTTTACCGAAAGAACCAAGAAGAACTATGCAGGGTTGTTGTTTGTCTTTTGAATCATTGGTCAGTCAATTCATCCAGGGATGGTTGTGTTTGACTGTGCTTATCTCCGTGGTGACACATCACCAGGTAACGCAGCCAGATTAAACTCGACCTCGGAAACGCGTATTAGGGTCCTGTTCGACCCCACCCCGTATTGTTTATCATGATCATCATCAAGCACCATCATTGGCCTTGATCTACCAGCTGCTGGATTGAACGCCTCCGCATGCTGCCACTGCAATTTAGTGGCTTAAAATACAATGTTTCGCTCCGGATGATCGCTACAAAGTATGATCTATGTTTTGATTTAGTGTGCTGATCTTAAAGGTGCATTGAAAAATTATAATACTCCGATTGATGCTCCTGCTGTTGTGGAGTGACTCATGCAGCCAGCTATGGCTGCAGGGTTTTGGTAGTACATGTTTATGCCATTTATTGTGAAAATCCCGTCACAGTGGCTATGATCACTGTTTCATTGCTTTCATGGCTTTATTTTGGTGATTTCGAAAAGTGTATTGGTTTAGCCATGTTTGTTTGTTGTAGTACAGAGTTAGACTGATGGCCCTAATCTAAGTTGTCTTGTGGTTGTTGTTGGTTGTTTGACTTGCATCCCACTGGGATTTTTGCACACATCGTTGGTGTACGGTGCTTTTTCTGCAATGTGTTGCTGTCTTTTCTTGGATTTTCTGTTTGCACTCAGTCACATATTCACTTTAAGATGTTTTTTGTTCATGTTTTAGTTTTTTGTTTGTTGCGGTTGCACCCGATTCAAGAGCCGAATGGCTCACAGGGCTATACCTAATAAATGAACTTGAAGCGGTCGAAATCTCCCGCAGTCCCGCGACACAAAGATCTAAATCCAGACACCTGCAACGCGAGCTGGTCGTGTGGCTCCGTCCTTTCGCCGCCACTCCGTTGTCCGTCTCGACCACGGAGCGGACATCGTCCCGTCGAGCCAAGACTCGTCCCTGCCCGGTCCCGCTTTACTTCCCTTGAACGGTGACTTAAAGCTTGAGTTCTCTAAGGCGAAGGTACTTTGCAAATCCACCGGCCATCAACAAAGATTTGTTCATGAAGACATCCACGTATACAGACACAACTTCAATCGAGAAGATAGGTATAAACTGAGCAATCATTGGAAGGACGTTATCAATCAGTTTAAGTCATAACTGGCTGTGATGTTCCCATCCTAGCACCTTCCGATTTTAGTTGTTATTTTCGGCTCTCTGATTTTACATTAACAGAGTATCGGGTAGGGTACGGGTATCGGGTACCCGATTGCGACCTCTGACACAACACGAGCCGTCTAACACTGACGACGCCGACTGAGACAGCCAACAACTTCCAGCAGCGTAGTGTCTAGCGGAGACGGCAGCGACGACGAGACGAGTTCACTCCCAGCACCGGCAGCCCCGAGCCCCCCGCTCTCGGCTCCTTTTATGCTCCCAGCGCCGCCTGGCTCCGCCCTGACCGCGCCTCCCTTCTAGAACCCGCCAGCAGGTTCCAGCAGCTTTCAGGCGCCTCCAGATGGGGTACTCCGTGACCCTTGCCCAAGTTCCTCCGCTCTGCCAACACACCCCGTGTTCACGCTCACCGGCGTGTGTGCTGTCTGTCCACCACAGCTACTGCTGTCGTCCACCAGCCGGCGCTATGACACTACACATATATTAGAGTGTATATATATACTGGTTCATTGATTGTGTTTAATCTGGTGAGGACTCAAGAGAATAGTGAGCATGAGGCTCATTTGCAAGAGTCAGCGAGTTGCAGTGAGGGAGTGGCCGAGTGAGTGGCTGGTTGCATAGATGGTTGAGCGACTGAGTGACATTGAAAATTCATTCTCGTGTGTGACCAGCTGGTGATAGCTCAAGAGGGCAGGATTGAGTTTCGTTTGTAAGAGTGGCCTGGATCAACCAAAGCGACGAAAAACTAAGTAAAATAAGGTTGCGTACGAGTCGTTTTAATTACTTGGGCAGTTTCAACTCTCGTGTTATTTTATTTTTTTTGGCATTCTATGCCCTGTTGATTTGTGCATTTGCAGCGCTGCAAATGAACGGTTACAAATCTGTCTGTCGCCTGATGAAGCTGGTTGTAATTACTGGCGAAACGTCGTACTCAGAATGTAAATGTTGTGGCTTGGCTCTCCAACACACCGGTGTGCTGTACTAGTATACTACACTATACACTACACACACTATACACTACACACTATACACTACACTATACACTACACTATACACCACACTATACACTACCTTATACACTACTATACACTACACTATACACTACACACTAGTGCTGTACTAGTGACGAATTGGCACGTTCTGTTCACGTTACAACCCTTACTAGTTGGCTGTCGGGTGGTGGAGGGTTTTAACGACACATTTATATATTTACGCGATCTAACCCCCAAAAAAAACTCTTATGGATGATATTGGTCGCGAAAGCCTACGTGTTAAACTGACGCACTTATGTTGTAACGTCTTTCGCACCGTACCTAACCGACCGTGCTAATCGGAGGTTACGGCGATGGCGCTAACTAGAAATCGTAGGACACACACACACTGCGTCACTGCTTGTGTGAGATCTGGGAGGAGTGGGGGAGGCGCGCGAGTGGTTAAAGTGACGCAGTGTGGAGCCGGCGTGTTCTACCGACCGGTTGGGCGAGGACAGCTGATGCATACAGTGCCGTAGACCTCGTCTGGCATGTTGAGGTGTACGGCCGGGATTTTGGCGAGGCTGAACGCCACGTGTTCAACTCCACGTTGGAGATGCACCACACACACAAAAAACCATTCAAACACAATCGTACATTTTCTCTCGACTGACAAGACAGTTCTTCTGGAACTGGTGGTTTCAATTTGCATAAAATGCCGAGATGTTTGTACACACACACGGAACACGTTCATTTGTTGTTGTTGTTGTTGTGATGAAACCGCTGTGTATTATGGGGCCGTCCATAAATGACGTCACGAGATTTTGGACGATTTTTTACCCCCCACCCCCTCGTCACACGGCGTCACAAAAAGTCAGACCCCCCCTCAAATATGACATCACAAAGCTCTGACCCCCCCCCCCAAACCATATTTCCATTTTGAAAATAAAACATGCTTCAAATCGCTTTAAACTATTGTCATTGTAGTGCGTATTTAATGTGGCGCTTCACTCTGATGTTGTAGGAGTGTTGTTATAACAATTAGTGTTTTTATAACAATTCTACATTTATTTAAAGTTGCGCATTTTGATGTGACGTCACCTTTCTCAAACACCCCCCCTCGTCACACATGTCTGACCCCCTCCCCCCCCCCCCAGGTGCGTGACGTCATTTATGGACGGCCCCTATGTAATCCATGTGGAAAGCACTAGACCGCGTACAGTTGTGGAGTGTATAGTGTGTGTTATAACTGAAGTAGAATACGTGCTGTACGAGACTGTCTATTAGAGGAAGGCTACGTGAGGCTGGGGGAGCCTTTATGAAAATAAAAAACGACAAAGATCCCCCGTGTAGCCTCAACAGGCTGTTGGGGCAAGTGCTGCGAGGCAGTATTAATGCCAGAACAGCGCACGAGGGGGTGGTGCGGCTGCCACCACGGCCTTTGTATCCTCAGTGCTGATGTCAACACACAGCACCAGTCGCCCATTGAAGACGGAGTCAACCTAGGGGGGAGCCCAGCAATGGTTCAGATGTTCGTTATTGGCTGCGAGTGGGAATCGAACTCGGGTCGTCGGGTTTGTAGCGCCGTGCGCTAACCACTGCGTCACTCCTCCCCACAGGGATGACAAAGACAAAGATCTCCTGTGCAGCCTTAACAGGCTGTTGGGGCAAGTGCTGTTCGCGGGCATCTTTGAAAGCCGGCACGGCACACGAGGGGGTGAGGTGGCCAACACGAACAGAAACGCGTGAACACATCCACTTTCAATTGCATTTATTTTTTACAAACAAATCTTCCAATGATTCCACACGGTGGCCCGATAGCTTGCGTGGTTGTGATGAACAGAAAGACGAGCACGTAGATTGGGGAAGGCGAACACACACAAGTTAAAGGAATCATATTGCAGAACACAAGACAAACAAATCGTCGTGAGCGTGAATTAGAGGTGCGAAAAAATCAATCTCGGCGTCGTGCATCGGACAAATTCGACGAAGGTCATAGCCAGAGGCGGGGGGGGGGGTGGACGCGGTTGTGGGGACACGGTCGGAGAGGAGCGTGGAGAGCGTGGAGAGCGTGGCGAGCGTGGCGAGCGTGGAGAGCGTGGAGAGCGTGGCGAGCGTGGCGTGTCAGGCCAACGAGGCGGACGAGGCGGGGTCGCTGTGATCGTAGTTGGAGACCTCGATGAGGTTGTGGTCGGGGTCGCGGAAGTAGACGGACACGATGGGGCCCGTGGCTCCCGTCCGCATCACGGGGCCCTCCTCCACCGGCACGTTACACTCCTGCGCGTGGCACGCGTGTGGGCGTGTGGGTGTGTGTGTATGGGTGTGTGGGTGTGTGTGGGTGTGTGGGTGTGTGTGGGTGTGTGTGTGGGTGCGTGTGGGTGTGTGTGTGCGCGCGTGTGGGTGTGTGTGGGTGTGTGTGGGTGTGTGTGTGCGCGTGTGTGTGCGCGTGTGTGCGCGTGTGTGTGCGCGGGTGTGTGCGCGGGTGTGTGCGCGGGTGTGTGCGCGAGTGTGGGTGTGTGTGTGTGGGTGGGTGTGTGTGTGTGTGCGTGTTGCATTACACTCCTGCGCATTACACGCGTGTGCACGATAGACACGTGGGGACGACGCGCTTTGGTGATATGCAGGTCATCTCAGTGAGTTGAGCCACGACACCTGTGTTATGATACAGGTAGTGTTACTTGAAGGTGCTGCATGAAATGATGCTGACGTTGAATGTGATGATGGTGATGATGATGAAGTTGACATTAACGATGATGTTGAAAATAATTTTAAAATGTCATGACAACAATAACGACGACGACGATGATGATTATTACGGGAATGACAATGCTTATGCACGTATGTACGTTGAACTTCGTTCGTACGCAGCCAACCGCAATAATCGGAGGTGCAGCAGAAAGACAACAAACTCAAACAACGATGACGAATTGGAACCTCATTTGCCAGAAGAAAAAATATGATAATTGTTTTTTTACCCTTTTATCTGGCAACAAAACTGACACCTTTTTAACAAGGAGTCATGTTTGCATAGACCACAATACCTGCAGTCGTAATGCAAACAAAACACATAACTCTGATAATGAATGCACTGTCCTTGAAGTTGATTGGTCCACACCCGAGACAGCTTTCCTTAGAGCCTAGTCTCACATGGTGTTGGACCAGATGACGCCAAAAGGCGCACAACTCAAAGACAATGCACCAATTATCATATTTTTTTCTTCTGACAAATGAGGTTCCAATGGTGTAAATGCTTACCCCGAGCTCTCATACTCTGATGGTGCATTGTCTTTGAGTTGTGCGCCTCTTGGCGTCATCTGGTCCAACACCATGTGAGACTAGGCTCTAGGGAAAGCTGTCTGGGGCGTGGACCAATCAACTTCAAGGACAGTGCATATCATTTTCAGAGTTGTGTTTTTTGTTTGCATTACGACTGCAGGTATTGTGGTCTATGCAAACATGACTCCTCCTTAAAAAGGTGTCAGTTTTGTTGCCAGATAAAAGGGTAAAAAAACAATGATCAACGATGACAAAGTTGACGAACACGACGACGACGACGACGGCGACGAGGAGGAAGACGTTGCCGAGGTTACCTGCAGGTGCCGCACGACGCTGCCGATGGGCGCGTGCGTGATGAGGCACAGGTCGATGGAGCCGGGAGTCGGGAGCCTGGCCTTGGGCTCGAACTCATTCCCCGCCTCGTGGAGGTTAAACTTGTGCTTCCCAAAGCCCAGCGCCTTGCGACCTCCCTGCACCGCCGCCGCCATCGGGAGCAACCGAGTTATCACTCGACCCCACTCAACAACGCCTCCATCAAGCCACTTGCCTCCTCCACCGCATAGCATGGGCGCCCCAACACGACTCAAAACTATTCCAACAATGTTTTGTTTATTTTACCAGGCGAGGTCACACTGAGCTACATAGCTGGCTATCACAGATGATAGCTCAACGAACTGGCGTATCATGTGGACATTCACAGCAGCCGAGGCAATTTTCAGCAACGCATGTTCCGGTTCTAAATGTGGAGGGGAGAAAATGCAACATGACCACGGGGAGAGAGACACGCAAACTCCAAATGTACAATCTTGATTTTAAAAAATCAAGATTGTAAAAATGTACAGCATCCAAATATACAGCAGGCGTCAGGGTCGGAATCGAACCCCCATGACCTCCTGTTGCCAGGCGAGGTAGTTAACATCTCGCCACCACGGCACCCCCTCTGCCCCCCACCCACCAGTTAAATACCCCCACCTTCATAGCCTATCGCCTAGCCCCCCCCCCACTCCCATCATCATCATCGACCATGATCGATCCGATGCTGAATTTCGTCCTCCCGCTCCCCTCCCCCACCAGAACCGGTTGAAATATTCGTCGCTGACGACGGCACAATGTTGACTACACACTGCACCAGGTACTCATTTGAGGCCGAGTCGATCTAGGGCAGGCCCAGGACCGGTTAAAAAAATCGTCGCTGGCGTTGACCGTGAGCGGCAATCGAACCCCGGGTCGCGGGATCGCAGCGCGGCGCGCTAACGGCCACACCACACCGCTTGTGCCAGGCTAGGTGCACGCGCACACACAAGACACACAGACGCGCACGCACCTTGAACGTGACCTCGTGCATGCCCAGCACGCGCGTGTAGAAGGCGATGGTGCGGTCGAGGCTCCGCACGGTCAGCACGAGGTGGTCCAGACGGTCGATAGCGAAGGGCGCAGACGAGGAGGATGACGAGCAGAGGCGGTGGCGCGCAGCCAGGAGACACGGCGCCGAGACAGCCTGAGACACGGGGGTGAGCGGAGAGGGGGTGGACACGTGCAGGCGTGGGGGAGACGGACAGATGTGTACGTTCGCTGAACTTCTTTCGCACCGCGCGCAGTCAACCGAGCTAATGGGGGGCACGCGTGGGTCAAGTGCCAACACAGTCACCACCACCAACTCCAACACCCAACCCTTTCTACCCCCTTCAGAGAGCGCAGCCTGGTGACCCCTTGACTCTACCTGGTGACCCCCCTTGAACTCTACCTGGTGACCCCTTGACTCTACCTGGTGACCCCCTTGACTCTACCTGGTGACCCCTTGACTCTACCTGGTGACCCCCGTGAACTCTACCTGGTAACCACTTGACCCTACCTGGTGACCCCTTGACTCTACCTGGTGACCCCCTTGACTCGACCTGGTGACCCCTTGACTCTGCCTGGTGACCCCTTGACTCTACCTGGTGACTCCTTGACTCTACCTGGTGACCCCCGTGAACTCTACCTGGTAACCCCTTGACTCTACCTGGTGACCCCGTCAACTCTACCTGGTGACCCTTTGACTCTACCTGGTGACCCCGTGAACTCTACCTGTGCGCGATTGAGTGGAGACACGGGGCAAGGGACACGCGGCGAAGAGACGCAACACAGGCTCGGTTAGAACCTCACCGTGCCGACACACACAGAAGGCCCATATACTTCACGCACGGTCTGTAGGATACACAGACACGGACGGAGACACGGGATGGCAGGTAGACAGAGCGGGGAGGCACGGCGCGGAGACACGGTGGAGAGTTAGCAGAGGGACACAGGGGAGAGAAACAGCGAAAGAAACAGGGAAATAATTAGCTGAGCGACACAGCAGAGAGAGAGAGACACAGGAGAGAGGAAAGAGAGACACAGCTGGGAGCTACAGCGGAGACAGCAGCAGCAGAGAGACGGCGGAGACCAGAGAGTCAGCGTGGAGAGAGTGGAGACAATGCAGAGAGAGTCAGCGTGGGTAGAGCGGAGACACGGCAGAGAGACACAGCAAGAAGGACACAGCAGAGAGACAGACACAAGTGGAGAGAGAGAGAGGCAGCGTGGAGTTGTCGCTGGTGTGTTACTACCTGCACGCCGCGCACACGCAGGCAGGCAGAGGCGGCCACCCTGAGCGCGAACATCGCTTCTCTCGCTCTCCGCTCAACACCCTGGCTCGCTACGTTAACAACAGTTGCAGCAACAACAGTTGCAGCAACAAGCAACAACAAAAAACAGCAACAGCTGCTAACTATCGCTGAACGTAGGTTCAGTTGCAGCCCGATCGCCGAGCCGAGCGAGTTCACGAGAGATTCTTCCGCGTTCGTCCGGCCGGCAGAGGCGGTGACGCGTCTCCTGATGAGCGCTGTGACGTCACCAGCCCCGCGTGGCCCGCGGGTCGACTGAGGCCAAACCGCCGGCGCGAGAATCGGAATCATCGGAATATTTACGCTGGGAGCAGTGCCGGATTAAACTCGTGCGTGGCCTGTAGCATGTGTTTTAAATATTAAAACAAAATTTTTACTTGCACAGTAAAGTTATTGTATTTTTTTTCATTTGCTATACGGCCAGATAAAATCGCTAACCTGAAACACCCAGTCGTTCATAAAAGTTGAAGGCGGTATAGTACTATAGTAATAGGGAAAGTGTAGAATCACTGAACCGGAATTGATAGCTTGAAAGCATTTAGCGCGGGGCCCTTGAAAGTGCGGGGCCCGCAGCTACTACGCATGTAGCTACTACGCATGTAGCTACTTTTGCTCTGGGATAATCTGGCACTGTGCTGGGAGGAGGAATCCGATGAGCTATGAAGCTCTTCTTTGTCTTTTTTCTTTCACGGATGTCCAGTCGTGGGGCAGGTCAGAACGTTAAAACAACAAACAATAGGTGAGAGAGAGAGAGAGAGAGAAAAAAAAACACGATAGCAGTGGAAATTATAGGGAAGGTACATAAATCACTTAAAATATATACAAATAAAACTAAACTATGTTTTTGTTACTTACCTCCAACCACCAACTTCGCTTCTTTTTCAGTAGCGCCTTGGCCACAAATGATAACTCAACGAAAGTGGCTTATCACGTGGACATTTATAGCAGCCAAATACTTCAAGCACATTTTGATTCTAAACGTGGAGGGAAAAGCCAGAGGACCCGGAGAAAAATCCCCACGTCCACGGGAAAAAAGAGAGAGAGCGAGAGAATGCAAACTCCAAATACACAGTTGACGCATCTCATGCCGCGTGTCCGTCAAGCCAGCGGTCAGGCGATTCGGTGATTTGTTTTGCTCATGATGTCTCTCAAATAGCTGACGATGTGCTGCAGAACTGCCATGCCGATTCAAGACCGTTCATTGCTCAATAGGTCTCAACAACGTGAGCGTTTGAGCCCAGGTCCCCAAAGTCAGTCAAGCCGGTCGATCCTCTCTGCCCTCTCTGTGCGCTGCTGAAGGGTTCTCGCGCGAAACGTCGGACTGTTGTACGCAGCATTTCTCCAAAGAACTGTGAAGTCCGTGGCTGCGTGAAGAGCGGTGGCGCAATAGTTAGCAGCGAGCCGAGTTCAGTTCCAGCCCGGCAATGTGCAGCGTCAGTGGTCACGAGCGGTAACCGACTGAACTCAGCCAGTGCTGTGATGATCTGGCGATGCTGCTGCTGATTATGATGCTGGTGCTGGTGATGCTGATGATGATGATGCTGGTGATGATGATGCTGGTGATGATGCTGGTGATGCTGATGATGGTGATGATGATGCTGATGGTGATGCTGCTGATGATGATGCTGGTGATGGTGATGATGATGATGCTGCTGAAGATGATGCTGGTGATGATGATGGTGATGCTGTTGGTGATGATGATGCTGGTGATGATGGTGATGCTGCTGATGATGATGCTGGTGATGATGCTCTTACTTCTGTTGGCAGTCGGATGCACGAGCACAATTAACACCCCCCCCCCCCCCACCAATATATATACAATCTCAACATATTCGTCATTAATAGCAACACTGTGTGTGACCTTAATATCTATAAAACGTGTATAATACGCGACGTTTCGGGCAACGTTACTATTGATACTTTACGCACATATTGTGAAAGAGAACGTTGTCCTTGGTACGTTATAATGTTGATCATTATGGTACATTGTCAATCCACTGCTGGATGATGGCCTCCTCACGCCGTACAGGTCCGTGGCCGGTTACTCGACCATACTTCACCACGCTGGGTCAGTGCGAGGTAATGAAGTGGGGGAGGTGGGGGGAGGGCGTCAGGGCCGGTTCAGTAGTCACTCGCCACTGATGTTAGCCGTGGCCACGAATCAAACTCTGGTGACCGGGTTCATTCATCATTTTCACGTGAACGCGCTAACCCGCGGCACCACCGCTCCACGCCACGACGCATCACTGAGGCATCACGAATACACAAATAGATGAGCACAAAATAAGACGCTCGAGGAATTCCCACGTGGGAAATCCCACATGGAAATTCCTCGCACGCGGACGCGAGCAAGGAGTGGAGGAGAGTGGTGGGTGGGTGGTTGGGCTGGTGGTGACATCAGAGCCCATCGACTTATTCACCTCTGACGTAGTCGCACACCTCCACTCACTGGTCCCTCCCCCCACCGTTCTCCCCTCCGCCACCACCCCCACCACTTCCTCCTCCCACCTCCACCACCGCCGCCCACACCGCCTCCCTCCACCCACCAACTTCCATTTCTTTCTTCCTCTTCCTTCCTGTCCTCCCTCCCACCCACACTCCCTGCCCCACTCTCTACCTCCCTCCACCTCCACTCTCTACCTCCCTCCACCCCCGCCCCCCTCTGTGTAGAAATAGAGGCGGAGGCTTGGGGTGCTGCTCACGAAGAGAGAGAATCAGTGGCTCGCAAGCCCGCACACCGCTGACCAAGCCGCCGTCTCGCTCGGCTCAACTAAAGCGCCGCGAACTTTCATCGCACAGGGTTTAAACACGCGGCACAGGGGCACGCTCTTTAACGAGTAATTCGTGAAAACCAACAAGACACGGGCTTCATTCTAAGATCATATCGATCAACTCGTTTAGGAAGTTATGAGTGCGGCGAGCGATCAGAAGGCGGAGAGGATGCCTCCGAAACTGCACAACTCTGTCGGAATCATGTCCATCTCGGCAGGTAAGAAGCTGCTGCTGCTATTGTTGTTGATGGTTGCCGTGCTTGGTGGTGGTGGTTGTGGTTAGAGAGCGGTGGTTTAACACTTAGGCTTTCGCGACCAAATTTTATTGTAATTATCGTTAACGATACATTTGTGTTTACGCGATCTAACTCAACAACTTCTGTTATGGAGAGCGGTGGTGTCGTGGTTGGCGCACTGCGGCTGCGAATCTGACGACCCGAGTTCTATTACGGCTCGCCATCAATAAACTGTGGCGAATAGTTGAACCTACCTGGGCCTCTCCTAGGTCGACCCGGACTCAAACGAGTACCCGGTTCGGCGGTGTTAAATATCGCCACTGGGAGACAGACGCGGCCGGACGTGGTGCTGGCCACACCACTCCCTCGTGTGCCGTGTCGGCCTCCCTATGTACTTCGCTCACAGCGCTTGCCCCCCCCCCCCCCCAACAATCTCTTATAGCTATACGGGCGATCTCTGTCTTTGCGTCTTTTGCTGTTGCGGTGTGTACTAAACACCGGCACTGGGGAGACAAAGGCGGCCGTGCGTGCGTGGTGCTTTGTCGCACCGACGCCTCCAGCTCGTGCGCCGTGCCGCCCTTGCTAACGAAGAGAAGCGGGAAAGTGTAAACCCAGCAGCAGCAGGAGCAGCATCCGTGGTGTCGGGTGCTCGCTGGCGGCGCTCAGCCCGGCAGTCTGCGAATGCCGGCGACTGGCGGAGCGTGTGGGTGGGCGTCTCTCACCGCGTGTCTGGCCCCACCCCCACCCAACCCCCACCACCCCCACGTTCTCCCCGCCACCCCCCCCACCATCCCCCCCCCACCATCCCCCCCCCCCACCATCCCCCCCCACCATCCCCCCCACCATCCCCCCCCATCATCCTCCCACCAACCCCCCACACTCCACCAACCCTCACGTTCTCCCTCCCCACGTTCTCCCACCACCACCATACCCACCTACCACCAACCCTCCACCATCCCCCCCCACCATCTCCCCCCCATCACTCATCACCATCACCCCACTTACCCACCACCAACCCCACCCCGCACCACCCCCCCCACCATCCCCCCCCACCACCCTCCCCTCCCCCCACCACCCCCCCTCCACCCCCACCGCAGGGTCCCTGCTGCTCGCCATCGAGAGCTACGCCCCGGGCCGCTTCGAGCCCACGGCGCTGGGCCTGCTGCTGCTCGTCGTCTCCGCACTCCTCGCATTCGCAGGTTCGCCTCCTCCTCCCACTCCTCCGCCCACTCCTCCTCCGCCCACTCCTCCTCCTCCTCCCACTCCTCCTCCTCCTCCTCCCACTCCTCCTCCTCCTCCCACTCCTCCTCCTCATCCCACTCCTCCCCCCACTCCTCCTCCCACTCCTCCTCCTCCTCCCACTCCTCCTCCTCCCACTCCTCCTCCCACTCCTCCTCCTCCCACTCCCTCCTCCCACTCCTCCTCCTCCCACTCCTCCTCCTCCTCCCACTCCTCCTCCTCCCACTCCTCCTCCTCCTCCCACTCCTCCTCCGCCCACTCCTCCTCCTCCCACCCCTCCTCCTCCTCCCACTCCTCCTCCTCCCACTCCTCCTCCTCCGCCCACTCCTCCTCCTCCGCCCACTCCTCCTCCCACTCCTCCTCCTCCTCCCACTCCTCCTCCCACTCCTCCTCCTCCCACTCCTCCTCCTCCCACTCCTCCTCCTCCCACTCCTCCTCCTCCCACTCCTCCTCCCACTCCTCCTCCTCCCACTCCTCCTCCGCCCACTCCTCCTCCTCCTCCCACTCCTCCTCCTCCTCCCACTCCTCCTCCTCATCCCACTCCTCCTCCTCATCCCACTCCTCCCCCCACTCCTCCTCCTCCTCCCACTCCTCCTCCTCCTCCCACTCCTCCTCCCACTCCTCCCCCCACTCCTCCTCCCACTCCTCCTCCCACTCCTCCCACTCCTCCTCCTCCCACTCCTCCTCCTCCTCCCACTCCTCCTCCCACTCCTCCTCCTCATCCCACTCCTCCTCCTCATCCCACTCCTCCCCCCACTCCTCCCCCCACTCCTCCTCCCACTCCTCCTCCTCATCCCACTCCTCCTCCTCCTCCCACTCCTCCTCCTCCTCCCACTCCTCCTCCTCCTCCCACTCCTCCTCCTCCTCCCACTCCTCCTCCTCCTCCCACTCCTCCTCCTCCCACTCCTCCTCCTCCGCACTGCGGGCGAGGGCTGCCGTTGGGGGGTGGCGG